AAAAGTTTATCTGATCGTTTATTTCAAGATACTAAGAAATCAGTTGAAATATATATATATATCTTAATCACTATAGTATACCCATCACTCTCCATCTACATGAAATGAATTTTTGTTTATAGATTTGTGATTATCCACTAATCTATACTTTTAATTAACCAATAATCACTCTTTTCATCTTGATGTTACCTATTCTTCTTAAAAATCATAATGTTCATCACTTTTTTAAAACATTGGTTCAATTAATTGTCACCAAAGACTAAGAACAGTAATGTTGCTGATTATGGAACCACGTGAGTTTGATGATTAAATTAGATCAATTATGGAGCAAAAGAAGTCTCGTTTTATTTGGGTATTTTTCAATATTAATAGCTTAATGACTATCTAAACAAGTTATATGGGTTAATTTCCTTCCTTTTCCTAAGAGAATGCTAATAAAAAAATGTGCAATGATTTTAATTAGAAATATTATAAATCCTTTTGGAATTTCCAAACTGCCCTTAAAACGTATCATAAATTTCTTAAAAATATCAAAAACCTCTCCTATAACAAGGATTTTCTATAATTTTTAAAAATTATTAGGGTACTTAAGACTTAGTTATCTCTGGGGTATTGAATAAAATTAACCCATTATATGAGATTTTTACACCTCTATTGTTGTGTGTGAATTTGCCACAAACTCGAAATGCTCGATAGCTCAAACACATATAGATCGAGGCGGTCTAAAGCTTGCGAGAAGATATAGCTCGACCTAGAATGAGCTTGTTGCGATCAGTCTTTACAGTTGTTCGATGGATTAGGGGATAAACATTATCCTCTGATATTTCGAAGGAGATAATATCACATTGATTGTAGCATAATCTTAACGCACAATCACGGAAATCACGAGATGCATACCAAGTCAGATCATAATCCCAGATTTATCTTTCTTTCCTTTGTACAAATCATGTATAAATACCCCCAAAAAAACAATGCAAAAGGGGGTTAGACTTTTGCTTTAGGAAAAAGGCATATTATTTGTACTTCTCTAAGCAATAAAAACAATAGTGGACGTAGGCTGCAGTTATTGCTTGCCGAACACTTTAAAAATCCTCCTGTGTTCATTTTTTGCATTCATATTACTGTTCATTGTTGATTTCATTAATCACGTACACATCTATTCCGATTATGTTGGGGTTAATCGGATCTTTTTGGTTGTTGTGGATTTTCGTAGCAGCATCTATCATCTGTCTATAATGATCCTAATGGTCTCACATCTTTAAGGAATGGTTTGGTTCGTGGAATAATAACCATTTAAGCAACCTCTCATTCTAAGTCAGTTTTAAGGATGAATTATATCCATTTATGGTTGTTACAATTACTATTATAGTGAGATGGCCCTAGTCAAGGTATAAAGTCTATTAGGACGATATAACTACTAAGGGTGAGCTTGGGTAAAGGGTAGAACCAGAATCGGCTCCATTAAGGTTTGGTTCGGTTCCAGTTCTGGAAAATTAGAACTGGGAATTCCTAGGCTCGGTTTTGGTTCCTGCAGTGTTGGAACCGGAACTAAAACCTGAATCGAAACAGAGGTTCGGGTACCCAAGTAAGAACCGGGGCTGAATTATAATTTTTGTAAACTATTGGGCACGTATTGTAATTTTTAGGGGTATATTTGTTATTTTTTAAAAGTAGGGGGATAATTAATCTGGGTATCTGGAACTGGAGCCTATGTTTCAGGTTCCAGTTCTAGGTTAAGAACCGGTTGGTTCCGGTTTGGGTTCCAAATCTTAAGAACTGGTCGGTTTCGATTTCGATTTCTTATAAAAATGCAGGATACTCGAAACTGATCACTCCTAATAACTACCGTGTCGGTTCCAAGAAGGATAGATTGTAATAGTCCTAATAATCCCACATCACAAAGGACCCATCTACGGTTGTTATAATGTCCTATCTTACTCTGAACTAGCAGTATTTACTTTTTCTCCATTAAGGGCCAGACATCCTCATGTGTTGTTTATTTTGATTGTGAGCATTGACTCAAAGAGCAAGATATTGCTTGAATTAATTTGTGCAATTTTGCTTCTGAAACATGAAAGATTCATACTATTTAAAAATGTTATTAAATCCATGCCATTGCCATGTGCCTCAAAAATCATGCCTATAATATTTTAATTATAGGCAGAGTGTGAAAAGGTTGAAAATGGTTGTGCACTGTACGAATGTCTGAAAACTAAAGATACCCGTCAGCACCTCTCAAGATTCCTAACTTTGACATTTTTATATTATTTATTACCCCTTTCATGCTTATACACTTTACAACAATATCCCATCTAACTTCCATTTATTTATCAACAATTCATTACATGTGGCACCCTTTTTTCAATTTTATTTAATTAAAAGTTGTCTTAACGTGTCTCCTAAATTATACATTAAGTCTATCATCAGTCAAAAACTAATTATATTAATGCTTTGAATAATATTTATAATTTTTTTTCATTTGTTTACATATAAAATAATATTAGAGTAATTAGAATCTTTGCCTCGAGACACATTAAGAGCATCTTATGATATTCTTTATTTTGAAGATTATCTTTCTTATAAATAAAAAGTATCTTCATTAATTTTTAAATATAAAGAACACAATTTTTATTCAAATCCAACTGACTCTTTAAATTTAATGAAGATACTCTTTATTTTCAAGAAAGAGACTTAATGAGAGAGATAAATAATAAATAAAATGTATAAAAAGTTGTAGTTTATTAATTAAAATTAGGATAGAGAGTGAAATTTAACTCTCTAGATATAGAGAGTCAAACTCACTGTTTAATTTATATTTTAAAAATAAAGAGTCTGTTGCACTCTTATTTTTATGGATAGACTCTTTATAATAAAGAGTTTAAATGTCATTTGGAGATGCTCTTATACTAATGGGTTGTATTGAGTCGACTAAAAATTTGTGTAAAAAATTTAACTTAAATATCCTAATCCCTTTAAATGTTTCTAATTAAATTTGTATTTCTCCGGATAAATACTCATATAATTCTTTAAAAAAAAAAAAAAACTTTACTTTGCTTAGCTTCACCAAATTTCCAATATTCTCCCTAATCCCAATCTGCCTCTAATTTTATATATTTTTTAGTAAAAGAAAGAATTTTTGATGTTTACTATGTTAGTCTAATAAATATCGTAATTGACAAATAGATTTGATGGTTCGTGATTTGCGTTAAATTTAGACAATAAAAATAAGCTAATTATGATAATTGATGCTTAGGTATCCCTTATTATAAGATTTAACAACAGAAGGGTGACTGCTGGGTGTGAAACAGCACTTGTATATGGCCCCAACTTTTCTTGAAATTTCCATCTAGTTTCTCACGTGCAGTGACTATTCCTGAAATACACACGTGTTGGCTGCTGATCGAGCGTGACTGCCTGAGTCACGAATCGTTCACTATTCACGACTCGATACTTTCTAAGTAGCCAGATATCGGATGACGTTATTTCTCGCATTACCAATTTATCACGATATGAGATTGTTCCAAGGTGTCCGTATATGAGATGAAAAAAATTGAAATTCGGACCGACCATTTTGATTTAAGAATGAGCAATAATTTTGAACTCTGTCACTGCCACGTTATACTGCATGGGCTGTATTTTCTTAACGAAAGTTTTTACACCAGTATAATATCTACATACTTTAATTAATTTTTAAGATCTTAAAATTAACGATTAAATAAATTTTTAATAACAACTCTTATTAATAAGGGAGCATTTATAAGAATTTAAACTAAAAAATTCATAATTTTTTTTTTTATGTTTTTATTATTAAGTCACTCAATGGTTACTTATGGATGTGGTATTTCACATTTCAGATTATACTCAATTTTAATTTTGTTATTAATTAAATCCTACATCATAAGGTAGTATTACTTAATTTATTATCATGAATCATTCGTATTAAACAGATAATTTATAAAAAGACTTTTCTTTTATACTTTTATTAATAAACAAACATTTTTTTACGAATAATTATTTTTAAATACTAAAAAATATTTAAGTTTCATCTATATCATTAAATAAATTTTTTTTATTTATTAATATAAGTGAAACTTGTTTTTTTTTTTTTAGTTTTTAAAATAAGTTTTCGTTTGTAAAAAAAAATCTATTTTTAATAAAAAAATGTTATTTTAATTATAAAAATAACATGTTTATCAATACAAATAAATTTTTGTTTCTTTTTCTAATATCTAAAATAAATATCATCAAAATGATATTAATCGGAAAAGATAAACATCTTTATCAATTTATTTTCTCTTAACTTCCAAGGAAACAATTTGTTTTATTATTGTTAAGTTAGATTATGATTACAAGGTAAGATTTAAAAATTAACAAAAAAAAACCCCTAAGTTTGTTAATTTATCTAAACACCCATAATAATAAAAAGTTTATTAATTGATAAAAACATCTCCATCCATCCACAATTGCTAGATTCCAACCACCATCGTCGGAATCTAGTGACTGCGGATCTGGTTGGAAAAGACTAAATCGATATACTACAAACCAGATTCAACCGATAGTACACTATTACGCCAGATTCCAGCCATCTTTTGGTGGTGGTTGCTAGAATCTGACAAATGTGGGTGGGAGTGTTTTTGTTAATTTATAAAAAAAAATTTGTTACAGGTGTTTAGTTAAATTAACAAACCTATGGAGGTTTAAAAAATTGAATATTATAGAATATGATTTTAAGAATGGAAACAAACATCCATTTTTTTTTTCAAGATAGTTTTTTTTTTTTTAAAAAAAAAAGAAAAGTGTATTTTAAAAAAAAGGAAACAAACGCAAATGATTATTAAAAACCTAGATGTAGATGGAGATGGAGATGGTCATCTCACTCAAACCTAAACTCAAATTCTCTGATACATTCCCAACATCTCGTCTATGAGACTTTTAAAATTTTAATATTTAAACCCTGAAAAAGAAAATTAAAATTAAAAATTGACAAATAAAAACGACAGCAAGTTAAGCAGAAGCAAAGAAGTAAACACCACAACACAATACCGACTCTTTGAGTCTTTGTTATCTGTCACAAACTCAACTGTGTTTCTCTGTCCACCAACAACATAGCAGAGCAAATTAAGCATAGAAAGTAAGAAAGAAACAAAGAGTGACGTGTTAGGCTCGCTCAGTTTGTGCAAGAACAAGTAGATAGAAGTACAGAGATGGGTATCCTATACGACGACGTAGTGATCATCAACCAGTCCGAGAAAGAAGAAGACCCAACTGTTATAACGATCAACTGCCCTGACAAAACTGGCCTCGGTCGTGACTTGTGCCGCATCATTCTCTTCTTTGGTCTTAGCATTGTCAGAGGCGGTAAGCTTTCCTTTTAACTATTTCTCTTCCTGTTTGGTTCCTCAGAAAGTAAAGGAAATTCTTAAATTTTTGGGTTTTCACTACAAGGGAGAGGTTAAAGTTTCCATTTTTAGTTTTCCTGTGTTTTGTTTTCTCACCAACCAAACAGGTGAAGGTAAAGGTTCAAAATTGAGTTAATTTTGATGGTTTCTTCTTCTTCTTCTTCTTCTTCTTCTTCTTCTTTTATTTTTTGGGTGGGTAAATGTTTCATTTATGTTTATTTGAACTTGTGTGGTGAAGATTTGTCTACGGATGGGAAATGGTGCTACATAGTGTTCTGGGTGATTGGGAATTCAACAACTAGATGGACTTTATTGAAGAAGAGACTATTGGGTGTATGCCCTTCTTGTTCTTCAGCTTCTGGACTTTTATATTACCGGGCAGAACTCCAGTCACCAAAGCCTCCTGATGTGTTTCTCTTGACGCTTTGTTGTCTTGATCGAAAAGGGCTTTTACATGGTACTTTTTTGTTCTTTCAATCAATTTTTTTTTTCGATTAAAATTTTATGTTTCTGGCTATCTTACTTGACTTATTTGTCTTGATGGTTTATATTTGATGTGGGTTTTGGTTGCCGATTATAGCTTTGGTGGTGTGTTTTTATTGCATATTTGATTCATATATTTTGATTGTTGTGAGATGATGGATTGAGAAAAGAGATTTTGGAATCTTTCAATGGCCACTGAAACCCTTTACTTCTAATTGAATCCCAAGATTTTGACTGCATCCTTTTTTCCTTTTATGTGATTAAAATGAAGAAGTTATCCTTTTTCTCTCCTTTTTGCCAATTGGGATATGAAATTATCTGATTTTCTGCTTTTGGTGTGGTGGTTTAGTGGAGAATTTGGGTGCTAGGACATTTTGAGAACTATGCCGATCATTGAGTTTAGGAGGAGTCATTTTTCTTTTTTATGGGCAGATGTGACAAGGGTTCTTTGTGAGCTTGAGCTCACCATAAAGAAAGTGAAGGTATCTACCACCCCAGATGGGAGAGTGATGGACCTGTTCTTCGTTACAGACACCAGGTTTTGCATCCTTGATATATTTTGCCATGTTTTATTGATGCCTTTGAATGACTACAACTATGTGACGTCGTAACTTCCATCTACAAGTTTGATATGGTGTCTCATTCAATCAATTTCTCTTTTCAAATATAAAATGATCTATATTGACTGACCACAGTCCTATTGACTAACGTTTAGCAGCACTTGCTTGACGCTAATGAATATTCTCCCTGGTCAAATGGTTGGTTAGGAAAAGAGTTAATCATATAGTGCAAGCAATCTTTAAAAAACTCGGCCAATTAAATACTTAGAATTTTACCAACGTAGAAGTTTGAAGTTTGATTTGTTAGGCTTAAAGTAAGTGCCTTAGCATTTAAAGTACCACTATAGATACCCTTGTTTTCCTTTTGCTTTTGCCTGTTTATTTGTTTATTTTTTTTGTATAAGAGGGCTGGAAAAGGGGGCTTCAGAACTAAATTTATTTAGAGTTGGCTTTGTATGCTCCTTTTGGTTGCAGAAGGACAGAATTTTATTTTTTAATTATTGGAAATTAATCCTAGATGTGAAGGATGTCGGGATGTTCCCCTACAAAATCCATAGAGATTTTCTTTTGTAAAAGTGTTCCTGTTGATAATATTTTGTTGCATACTAATATTATTTTCTCAATAATGTCTTTATCAGGGAACTTCTGCATACAAGGAAGAGACAGGAGGATACACATAACCGCTTAAAAGTTATCATGGAGGATGCCATGATAAGCTGTGATATAGAGTTGGTAGGCACCGAAATTACTGCCTGCTCTCAGGCATCTTCGTTTCTTCAATCTGTAATCACTGAAGACATGTTCCACTTGGAAATGCCTAATGAGCTCCCGAGCAGATCCCTCACTTCCAACAGTGTTTCTGTCACAATGGACAACATGCTGAGTCCTGGTCATACTCTTGTCCAAATTAATTGCCAAGATCACAAAGGTCTTCTTTACGACATAATGAGAACTTTAAAGGATTACAATATTCAGGTATATGAACTGTTAATATGATTTTCTGAAAATGTAGTGAGCTTTTTGAAATCATTGTGCAGTTGTTTTATGTAATTCATTTTTTCATGTGTTGATGTCTTCATTAGATTTCATATGGCTGTCATTCTTTCTTGAAACATCTATCATTTACCATTTATGTAATATTTACCCCAAAATCTTATTATTTAAGCAGATTTCATATGGACGCTTCTCCATGAGACAAAGAGGAAGTTGTGAGATTGACTTGTTCATCGTGCAATCTGATGGGAAAAAGATAGTTGACCCTAGCAAGCAGAATGCATTATCGTCTCGTCTGCAGATGGAATTACTTCAGCCTCTCAGAGTAGCAGTGGTCAGCAGGGGTCCTGATACTGAACTTTTGGTTGCAAACCCTGTAGAGTTATCTGGCAAGGGCCGGCCTCTTGTTTTTCATGATATTACCCTTGCCCTCAAGATGCTTGATACTTGCATCTTTTTGGTATGTACTTGTTTGCTTACCCTATCAACTCAAAAACTTATAACACACGTTTGTTTTCCCTGAACCCTAGTTGCTTTTTTGTCATTTAAAACAAGATTGCATTGCTGGAATTATAGAATTGACAACGCCTTACAGGTTAATGATGCTATACATTGCGTGTTTTCTATGACTGATTTTGCTAAGCCATAAATAAAACATTATGTTATGTCCCAATTCAGTTATGGAGTCCTAACTCTTCAGTTAACTGGTACGAAGTATTAATGTACATAATCAATTGTGTTTTATTTGGCCACTCTGTGGCCCTAACTGTAATGTATGTGCATGCTTCATGAAGTAAGTTTGGCCTTGTCAAACAACCTCTTCTATGTATTGTGAATATTCTGTGATTGAATTGTGTATTATTACCGTTATTTGTTTTGTAAATGGTAAATATCATGTTTGGTGCTTTTTCTTTTTCAGGCTGAGATTGGGAGGCACATGATTGGAGATCGGGAATATGAAGTTTATAGAGTCCTTCTCGATGAAGGGGATGGATTGCCTGTCCCAAGAAGCAAGATTGAGGAAGGAGTATGGAAGATGTTGATGGGCTGGGAGTGATTATGATCACTCATCACTTCCTTCCGACGGCTATGCCTATTGTGCAGTATCGTTCTCCTACCATGATATGCCACTTAGATGTAAAGGGTAATACTTTTCTCACAAACTTGCCATTAACTTTTTCTTATAAACTGACGTGGTAACAAGATGAATGTTAAGTGACATGCCAGTTACCACATCAGTTGTGTAATGAAAATATATTCAACATGTTTCTAAGGGTAGTTTTTCTTGGATGTAAATTACAAGTTATACTGTGAAAAGGGCTTAGGTTGCCCATCTTGTACGCATCTGTGGGACTAACTTTGTATCATAAGAATGATAAGTTGGTAGTGAGGAGATGTAGAAATTAAGAGTGAAGCGCCTTTGACATCGCACACTTGAAAGATCGAGCACAGAGGTAAATACGGAGTCAATATGGAGTCGTTTCCTTTACGTTCTTATAAATATATAGTACATGTTGTAAAAATAATATGGCTTGTCATTCAATGTTATCAGTTATGCAGAAAGAGTTTAGTTGTACTTGTACAGAAATATCTCTATAATTAACTATCAACATGACACTTGCTCTGTGTATTTTTGTGTTAAATTTCTTTACGGTTTATTCATATATGTTGTTCCAACTAGCAATCATTGGTGTAGATAAATGTATATACAAGACTCGTTGATTCATTTCTGGGTGTCATCTATTATACAAAGTAGATGTCCCTATATAAAAATCTTCGATCACATCAGAGGCATGTCTGTTGTACATGATTTCTGTTGTGATATGTATTGATCTGTAAATCGTCATTTCGCAAATGAAGATTATGCGTACAGGAATTTTGTCGCAATCAGGGGTGTTCGTGTTTGATTGAACCACGGGGACCAACTATTAAATTCTATATCTTAATCATTCAAGATATAATCTGAACAAGAAGATAATTCAACTAGCTGACAGAAAGATATTACCAAACACTTTGAGATATTTTTTATTTACTAGAGAAACTTTGTTGCTTATGCTCCATGTATCCCAGTAGCAAAATACAGAGAACGCAGATGATTTGCTACGCAACATTGAAATAGCAATGCAGTGAAAAGAAAGAGGAGGTTGGAAGTTGGGATTAATAGTTCTGATCACATGTATATGAGAAGGAAAGTTTTGAAGCATTCAGGACGAATGAGAAGCAGGGTTCCTCGTTAATTTGTAATTATGTGCACATTCAACGGTGTGCTTCACTTTAGTGTAAAAAAATGCCAAGGAGATAGAACTTTTCTAATGAATTCTCAAGACAATCAGATTGAAGCCAATCAATTTTTTGTCATTAAACTGCCCACCTGGACTTAGAATGAAAAGAGTTTATATGATCTTCTGCAAATTTGTGCCTCAATGTGGAGTTAAAAGACATTGGATAATCAGACAGCATTAATTTTACAAGGAAGCTGTTCTCAACTGGCCTGTGCCCACTGTGGTGTTTCATTAAGCAAGATAACAAAAATATGTCCTGTAGGCAACCAGTGACTGTGCACAGAATACTGAGGGAAGAAAACTGAAACACTCATAACTTCCTTTGAAGTCGCAATATTTTAAACAAAGCCACTGTAATATTTTGGTTACTATAACAGACAATATGTAGAAGTACAAGTAACGCTTGAATTTTTAAGATATCTGTGTGAATATTTTACTATACCAAAACACCATTCCTCCGTATACTTACTAGCAGTATTTGCTTCTTATAGCTTCCAGTATATACCCAATTTGTGCAAGATGCCTGATACAACTCCCCAGAATGTAATTTCAGCAAATATCACATACAAAAGGGTCCCTAGACTCTCTGACTTCCAAACATTTATAAATACATGTGTTTGAATCCAGTTAACCTGAAATAGTTATTGGTTTTGCAAACAAGTTAGATGGTATTCCAAAAATTAAAATCGACAAAATGATCTGTTTGATAAAACTTTTGACCATAAAGAAGAAAGAGTTACTTACAAGTGTGTTATCACGGTTCTTGTAATACCATCCATTCACAAATCCTGCAAGGATTCCCTGTGCACCGAGCACAAAAACGAGCATTGCATTCATCCCTATCCACTCCAGGAATAAAAATGGAGTCCTCCATCCCCAAACATCAATCTGTTCATTCATTCATAAAGGAAAAGAGAATTGAAAATACTCCGTTTAGTTAAGAGCTTAGATTGACAATAATTCACTGAATGATTTAGATTGAACTTAGATGTCTTACCAGAATGTAGAATCCG